GCCTGCATTTAATTTATTTCAATTTAATTGCAAGATGTACTTATTTAATTTTTCTTTAAGAGCTATTTGTTCGTGGGAAAGAAAAATTTATGCCAATGGACTGGAATGATTGCTAATTCTGGCTTTGAGCAGAAGTATTGCAGTAAGTAATTATAAATAAATGTTTTAGCAATTCAATCAATTTAATTACAGTTATTTAATTGGAAAGTGCACCTAAATAAAAGTGTGGCTGACGATCGACTAGATTACACACTCGTGTACGAAAGGGGTCGGCTGGAAGAAATAAGTAATTTTCGTTTTGGAACGGAGAAGTCGAGCGTTGGTATTTCTGTCTACTGGAAGAAGGAAGGTATTTTACGTTTAGAATGCAATTCTATTGCCTGATTTATTTGTCATACCATAAAAATAGCGTCCCCTTTAAGGAGAGTCTCCTGACATAGCCGAGTGTAAAAGTAAGTTTCAATTTTTATAGTGAAGTACTTTTGCATATAATGCTGAAATTTCTAATTATTGGGCTCTCAAATTAAAAATATGTTTCATATTGTTATAGTATACGCATTAATTTAGTGAGTCCCGTCATAAAATATTTCATAAACCAGTGCTCTTGATAAAATTCTATTATCGCCTCATTTGGTTCATTTAAAAAGGATACTTTAGCATGTGCAATTCCTCTTGAATTTAAAATAAATGACATGAGACGGAGCAATAATTACTTTGAATTTCTTAAACATTTTGAATATCTTTGGGAGTCTAAGTGCTAACTCAGAGAGAAAGCAAAATTTGAGCCAACTACAGTAAGCTTTATGAATTGAGAAACAGGTATTAAAAATTTTTCCTTAAGTTTTAACTGAAGCGGGGGATAGAAAAGAAGAATCTATCAAATGTTAGCAAAGAAATTACAATTTGACATTTTTCAGAGTACGTCAACCCAGTGGCGACAAATGACACCGGAAAGTAGAAATTTTAAAATTTTCTTTCAAACGTTTTTGTTGACATGACATAGGTTTGGAAAATTTTGATGACTAAATTTAACATTGAAATAAGCAACTTTTGCAACCATTCTCTTTTTGGCGGTGATTGAGCTAAACAACATTTAAATCAATTATTCGTGCTTTAATTAATAAAATGATCTTCCCTATTTATTACACATTTACACCTCTGACCTATTTGTTAAAATAAATTATCTGAATGGATTTGAAAAAGCATTTTTGTAAATAAATTTGATTGTTACTCTGTTTACTCAAAATACACTGTTATTCATCACTTTACTTATTCTCCTAAACAGGCTGCTCACTCGGATATTCGTTTGCAAGCAAGTTATAAATTTCTTTAAATAAAAAGACAAAGTTTTCAATTTTTTTCATTTTTTATTCACTTGAACTCAAATTTCATTCAATTTATTTTTTTTTTGAAATCGTCTTATGGGTTTTCCAAGTAATTACAACAAACCAGTCCTGATTCATGGTCATTTAATGTAAACATTAGCAACTTTATATTTAACCTGATTTAGTCAACTACTATTATGTTTATGAACATACCACTATTTAGCATTAAATCATCTACTTTATGTTTCGTTTACTCTGTTACATGTATTCTCTTTTTTTTCTTTTTTCTCTTAAACAAACTTACATTTTGTTTTGGAATAATCGTTACCTATTGGGAATAAAAGGTAATATTTCAACACTGGTTATTACAATTTCAATATAAATATCCATGATCGAAAGATCAAATTTCATTTTTGTTAGATAAGTTTCAATGGATATTTGTTAAAACGAATAACATAAAAGAATCGCATAAAAGCAGGTTTATGATGTTTTTTTCACTTTCTAATCAATGATACGTTTTTGAAAAGAAGAAGGAGCGTAGACACCCGACGACATAAAAATTAAGTTTTATTTCCAAATGTATGGAAGAGTTACATTTAGTGGAAAAATATTTTTCAATGGAAATAATTTATATAAACAAAAGGAACTAAATGGCAAGTTGACTCGAATGGTTTATAAGTCAGTTGGCGATAGATTGAGAGCGCATTATGCAAAAATGAATATATTTCTTCCTTTTCTTTATTAATTTACCTAAGTTAATTACAAACACCTCTTCCGAGTTACATGGGTTCTTTATGACAAACATTTTGATGATTCTAAATCGCATTTCTGACAGGCGCACGCACGTAGTTTAATTATCCAAAATAAAGATATATACTTTTTATTTATTTCAAATGACAGACTTTATGTTATTAATTGTTAGCCCTAAAACTTTGACTTCGTCTTCCCCCACGGTTGGGGGGTACATATATAGCAGTTAATTAATAGCAGTTCATTAGTTGTCTTCTTTGTAGCAGTTAATTAATAGCAATTCATTAGCTGTCTTCTTGCGGCAGTTAATTAATAGCAGTTCATTAGTTGTCTTCTTGCTTCCCAGTATCTCTGGATTTCCGTCCTTGTCTTTAGGCCTGGACATCGAATCAGGTGAGTCTTTTCCATTTCCTCCGCTAGGGTAAATATAGGGCATGTGGGTTGAGTGCATACTCTTAATATGTGATGATGTTTTGCCAAGCAATCATGTCCGGTACGTAGTCTAACACAGCAACGGCTTCGATTCTTGGCCAGTCGGCTATATCGGAGAGTGACACAGTCCACTGTTTCTCCTTTGTTCGAGCTTTAATTTCGTTGCACCTTAAAGTCTTGAATTCTATTCTGATTAATGCCTTCACTGAGTGGAAAAACATCGGCCGGTTCAGGCATTGCAAAAATGTTGTCCCCTTCTTAGCAAGTTTGTCAGCAAGCTCATTGGCTTTAATGTCAAAGTGACTAGGAATCCATTGTAGGACCACTGTTTTTTCTCTCCCAGCAGCTGATGGAGTTTTTTTAAATTCGTTTATCTCAGTTTTTTCTGTGGCTGCCTGCTTCCAATTGAGTTTATTGCTGTCTGTGAGTCCAAAAGTATCACCGATTTGGTGAATTTCGTATCTAAAAACAACATAATTGATATAGTGCTATCTAAATGGCCTCTATTTCTCCTTCAAAAGCGAATAAATTGGGGCCCGCTGCTTCCTAGGATGAGAAGAGTTCAGAGTAGATATCTGCACCAACGTTTGGTTGGTTTTCTATGTATGACCCACCAGTGAAGACTTGGAGGCATTGATCTCTAGAATAGTTGATATTGATTGTCTCAAGGGCCGGTGAGCGCATTTTTTCTGGAGGGATATTTGATTTCCTGAAGAAGTCGAGCAGTTGAATGCAACGCACTACATCAGTGTCTGCTAATGGGTTCATCTATGCAGGAAAGCTTTTTTACCATCTATTGTAATGCTTGCTTCAGTTCTATGGCTTTCTGTATTAGACCAGATTGCGTTACTCATGGGTGCTGAAGAACTTATCCATGGGAATGTACAGTATGATGCTGAAGAACTTATCCGTGAGAATGCACAGTAGCACAGACCTTTTCTTTGATAAGGGAACATATTGTGGTGTTTCCCGTAACTTGGATCATTGCATCAATAATCGTTGATTTTATCCCTCGAGTAATTAGTCGTAATGCTTGGTTGTGTGCCTTCTCGAGTGATTTAAGAATCACTTCTGTGGCTTTAGGATTGACTCACAGCAATACAACATTGTTATTTGAATAAACATCCTGTAGGTGGTGCTGAGAGTTGACCGCGCTCAGTCCCATACGCTACCAACAAGACGCTTAGGACATTCAGAATATTGGAGACTCGTTCGGCTATTTTAGCAATGTGACTTTTTCAAGTTAGATTTATGTCAAACGTCACTCCGAGTTATGTGAACTCATTGGTTTTTTTTTCTATGGTAGTATCCTTGTACCTAAGAAGCGGGTTTATGCTGTGATGGGGCAAAACAAAAGTTTGGAATGCAGTTTTTGCTGTGTTAATTACATTCCATCTTTGTTACACCAGTTTGCTAGTAGTTTAAATGCACTATTAAAAGCACTTTCTGTCCTCTCCTGAGCATTTTTCTTAGGGGCGGAATAACATAGCACAAGAACATCTGCGTAAAGTGAGCACTTGATGCCCGTGACTATCTGTACCAATTTAGCTATGTCATTGATGACGACATTGAAAAGAGTGCAGCTTGTGACAACTCGCTGTGGATGGCCTGTTTGAAAAAGATTGGATTTTGTTAAGCATTTCCATATCTGACTTTACATGATCTTTGTCCAATGAGGATTTCCGTATCTGACTTTACACGATCTTTGTCTAATGAATCTTATCCAGTTTAGCATGTTATGCTTAATACCAATCTATATCAATTTAGCATGTTATGCTTAATACCAATCTTTGCGTTTTCAATTAGCTTCTCTTTCCATACTAAGTCATATGCTGATTTGAAACCGACGAAAACAGCCGTAAGAGTATTTCTTGCATCAAGGGAAAAGAAAACAGCCAAAAGAATATTTCTTGCATCAAAAGCATCTTTAAAGTGTTGGGAGAAAGTGGCTACTTGTTGGTTCGTTGATCGTTGTGGCCCAAAACCTCCTTCTTTACTCCTTAGAATACTGTTGGTCTCAAGGAACCATGTTAGCCTCTTGTTAACCATTCTTTCTATAAGTTTTGCCAGTACGCTTGTGAGGGCGATAGGCCTATAGTTGTCAAATTTGCTAGGGTCTTTGGCCTTTTTAGTACTGGTATTACTATGGCAACTTTCCATTGGGTGGTAAGTACTGGTATTACTATGGCAACTTTCCATTGGTTTGGTACGAAACTGTTCTCCCTGATTTAGTTGAAAAGCGTCAGAATGATTTCCTTGGCATTTGTTTTCATTCTCATTAGAAATTCCGGATGAATACCGTCTCCGCCAGGAGACTTCTTGCACTTGAGCTGTTTTATCGCAGCATTAAGTTCGCAAGGTCGGAATGGTTCAGTAAGTATATTATTTGGGGTTGTGGTCTGAATGGTTCAGGATTACATTATTTGGTGTTGCTATGTTTTCCTTAATTTCGCCAAACTGATTATTTGGGGTTGTGGTGTCTTCCTTAATTTCACCAAACTGTCTTACATGTATCTTAAAATCTCTTGAGAATTTTCTGGCAAAAGGGTTTTTCTTTTGCTTGTGGGAATAGAACCTTGCAAAGTAGTTAGCTATTTCGGTGTCGGTGGTAAGCAATTTGCTGTTTAAGCGTATTGGTTCTTTCTTGGGTCTTTTTCCGTTGGTTTGGAGGTTAGTCAGGATTTAAAAGTGCGTTGGCTATCACTTTGACAGTTGGTATTAGGTGTATGAACTTGTCGAAGAAAGTCCGTTTATGTTATTAAATGGCTTGTCTTAGGACAGCTGACTGCCTTCACTAGGCTTGTACGTCTTCCGTTCTTCCAGTCTGATCAGCAGAGGGCTTTCTTTTCAGTTCCTCAAGGTGTTTAGATCAAAACACATTTTCAGCTCCTCAAAGTGTTTAGACAAGATCACTCGATAGCGTTCAGTCTTGCCTCTGTGAATAGTTATCTTTGACCATCGGATCACCATAATCGTGATATCGTTGCAAAGTTTGTCAGTATGTTGGTTGAAGTTGAGGGGACTTGTGTGAAGTTAAGTCTTTAAAAGATATGTGAATCTAAACCAATCAGCCTTCTTGAAGTTCCATGATAGCTTAGTTAGTACTTAAGTTGCCATGCTTTTGCTGCCGATGGTGATACTAGCAATGGCTGGTTTATGATCATAACCAGGATCGTTAATTAATTTACCAGGAGAAAGTCAGGTGTTGTTCTGGTTCCATTGTAGTGCAAATATGTAGCCGGATCCTCATTGCTGTAAATAATTTCCAGAATTTTGCTGTTTAGCATGTCTTTGACTTCCTTTCCAGCTATGTTTGCATCCGTGCAGCCCCATCTGTTGGGATGGGCGTTGAAGTCTCCTAATACTACAGTTTTGCATGAGTTGTTCAGAAAGTCAAAGTTGTGACAATTCTGGGTTGGATTATAGACCTCATATATCTTGAAGTGGTTTTGACATTTCCAAACATTTAATCTATTTACTTCGCACATGTCTTGTGTCGAGCCCATACTCTTGATTAGATCGTAAAGTGAGGTGAGGCCTTGTTTTACTCCAGTTAGAATTCAATTTGCAACTTGTCGATATTTAGCTGGAAGGTATAGTTTATAACCTGGGAATTGGTACTGCTTCAGTTTGCCATCCAAAATTTTTGCCTCCATAATTGTGAAAATGTCTGCATCATAGGTTTGTAGGATTCACCCTGACGAGAGCAATTTCTCTTGTAGCCTTGTTTCAAGCTAATGATAATAAATAGAAGTCAAATTAAATGCCGAGTGGAAGACTTTTTTGAGTACAAGGATATGTTGTTCAGGGTGCACCACGATGATGTACGTCTATCGCGCAGCCCAACAGGCGCGCACGCATTTTAATTATCCGAACTAGAGATATATAAATGTATGGTAAATGCTTGAGCGCAAATATATGCAAATGATTAGAAATCATTTTTGTTTTGGCATTGTTGCAAATAAATGGGCCTCTTCAAATAGAGGGCACGACTTTGCCTGATTCGTGTAAGAAGCAAATTATTCGTGGGCTTTACACTTCTTTGTAATAGAACTGGAATGCTTGCTGATCTAAACACAAAAAATATGTATTGAGTGAGTTCGTTTGAATAAAAGGATTGTGTAATTGAAGCAATATAATCTGCAAAATTTAAATTTGAAGGAAGCTGGACTGAAAATGTGGCTGAAGATTGACTAGATGATACACTTGCGTATAGCCGAAACGCACAAGAAGAAATGTGTTCTTTTATTTTTGGAACGGAATGGTCAGGTGTAGGAATTACTACCCACTGGTTGAAAAATGAAGCGTTTGAATTTAAATACTGCTTTCTCTTATTTAGTGAGGAAATTCAAATTATTTAATCGATATTTAGATGTGTTCTCTGATATCGCTGAGTTTAAATTTCTCTGGTATAATGCTTTCACCTTTACAATCAAAATTCACAATTTCTCTAAATGCTAAGTGATTATGGCTCACATATTTTATAAAAAAGCATTTTAGTTAATAAATTCCAATTATCAAACATTTCATTAATTCGAAAATCCATAATTACCTGAATTCATTGTAAAGTGTATTGCAATATTATTGCGTATAAAAACATTCTTTTAATATTCCTTATTTGAAAATTTACATTCAAATCAAATAAAGAGAACGTTAAATTGAGCAATCACAAAAAAATATGTTTTTCTTGTAATGCAATCATAAAAATAGTTAAAAGAGAACTAAATATTTTTTGTTTTAAATATGTCTAAAATCCGAGCCTGTCGATTTAAATTAAACAATTCGAGAACAATTATAAGCCTTCTCAAGCTCTCAGTTGGCTTTCATTTAGAAGAGCAAATTCAGTATAATTTCGTTTAATATTGATATCAAATGGGAAAGCTCTCCACTTTACCAAAGTATGTGGAAAAAGACTAACACTAATAATACGTCTTGGAGTATACAAAAGGCATGTCACTTTATATATTCAGAAGCAATGCAATACTATTTTCATTGAAAATTAAATTAAAAATTTCGTTATTGTAGGAACAAAAAAATAATGCTTGGTAGATCAAATACAAGTGTGTTCATTGCCATTTCGTTTGTCTTTTAGTGAATGTCGACTCATTAACAACAAGCAGTGGTAAGTGCACTTTGTAATTGTACCTAAAAATAGTATTTATAAGTGTTTTGAATGCTGTCTTACAGAACTAGAAGTTACTTGAAAGGTTTCACTCATTAGAATTCACTATATCCAATTGAATCTGAAGAAATAACTATTTTACTAAAATGGAAGTGATCTTTTCTCTGTTTCATTGCCAAGAATATCTTGAAACGCATTGTTGAACTAGACATTGTGTTTACTTTGGATACATCAAAATACGCCCATCTTTTCAAAGGTTTAATTAATCTTCTAAATAGGTCGCCCAATTGGAACTACATTCACAAGCAAGTTATTTATTTGCTAAAATTCACAAAACCTAATAATGTGTTCTGCTCCCTCTTTAATCTTAAAATCATATTTTGCTCAATTTAGTTCTTTTCGGAATTACCATGGGGATATTCAAATAGCTACGGCCATTAAACAAGAAGTGAACAACGAACTTTTATCTTGTTCTACTGCAATTTAACAAACTCTTCTACAGTTTCATAAATCTATTTAATTCAGGCAATTTCATTGTAGTTAAAACAAGCCACCAATTACTGTTAAAATAAAATCATTCCGAAAAATCTATATGCAGCTAAAAGTATTTCGTAACGATTTCATTTTTACAGAAATGGAAAATAATTATTAACTTGAAAATGTTTTATTATTTTTTAATGGCTAATCATTGGGGCGTTCTCTCGAACCACTGGTTAGGTAAATTATGTTCTAGTGTTTTGTAAATAGTTGAGATATTCAAGATTGTAATTTTCATTTATGAAAGACAAAGAGAAGTGACGGTGTACCATGTGTTTAAACAGGCCTAGCAAATGTAACAAGCTATAAGTCTACCCTAATGATATCACTTGGCTCCTAACGCGTAGGATTGTGCCGATTAATAAATTGTGAAAAAAATTTGATGAGCATCGAATAGTTAGACAAGCAGGAGGGGACAGCTCGTCAGTATGCAAAACGACAACTAGATTCTTAGCAATAAAGAAAATTAAAGGTGTTTTGAAATCGAGCTAGCTTGATGTGGATCAACTTGAATAAGGACTATAGAGATCCATACTGCAAGTTGCAACCAGCATATTTAATTATCGATAACAATGCTTAAATTTGTGATCTGGGGCAAATTTTGATCAGAAGCACTCTGAATTTAGCATGTTTGAACTTTTATTAAGACTTGAGAAATAACTGGCAACGGATATTCACGTTTATATTCGCCTTTCCACTACTTCAATTTCAATCTTATCTTCTGTAATTGCTACAGCTCTATACTGCAATATCCGTCTACGTTCACCAGCATTCATAGGTGCATCATTGGGTAAACACCCATAAATTTAAAACAATGCTTTCCGTCGATATCTGTCGTTATGACACTTTGGCAAGATGTGACCCAACATGGAAAAACATCCTTTAAAGAATCCATTGTTGTTGGAGCAATGAGTTTAATTTAATACTAATGAGGGATTTATTCATAATCACAACGGCAGATAAAACATTAAGGTAATAAATGGCCTGTTAAATATCTGGCTAAATATCAGTCTAACACCTATGAACAAATTAGGCATTTTCAACGCGTTAACTTTAATTATGCAAAAAAATCTATTGTGTAATACCAAGAAGAACTGACTAGAACAAAAGCGATGGTAAAGCCAATAAATTAAATAAAGACAAATATTGTAATTCTACACAAATAAAACTTGCTTGAGATAGTGAATCCTATTGCACATTCTAATTAGTTGAAATAAGAGGTAATAGAAAGGTAGAGAGGGGTTAAGAACTTGAGGAATCCAATTAAATTTAAATTAACTAAACGCTTTGTAAATACGCGAAGTATCCTAGCGATAAGCATAAGGAACCAAAAAAAAAGTTAAACGATCTCATAATAATCTTTTGAAGACTTCAGAATTTAGTTTAACAT